TGCTGTGCTTGGAGACCAGAGGGAGATGTTGGGTGTCCGGCTCCATCACCCTCCACTTTATTCCTTGAGAGGATCAGTCTGTCATTGAACCTGAAACTCAATGCCAAGTCTAGCCTTCAGGAAGACAATACTTTTTGGTAGTTAAAAACATAAATTGTGGGCGCCAGGCATGACGGCACACACCTAAGTGGAAATCAATGGTAGGGGGAATCTTCAGTTCCAAGCCAGCCTTGGCTACATAGCAGTTCAAGGCCAGCCTGGACTACAAGGAAGACCAAAAACCCAGAAACAGGGCTGGCAAGATGGCTCAGTAGGTAAAGGCACTTGCTACCAAGCTTGCCGACCTCAGTTTGATCCCCAGGAACCACACGATGGAAAGAGAGAACTGACTCTTGTAAGTTGTTCTCTGACGGCCTCTCAAGTGTCCATACCGACACATGGTAAATAAACAAATAAAAATGTAACTAAAACAAAACCAAAAAGAGGCTCTAGAAGTGGCCATGGGTTTTAAATGCCCCGGTCTTCATCTCATTAGCTCTAACCTTGGGCTTTTGTCTAATCACTAAATATCAGATTCCCATAAGAGTAATGACCCAAGAGTGAGATGCAGCCTCCCCTGTATCTTCATCCGGGTCTTCTATCGGCTTACCGCCGGGAAGACAGAACTTCCAAACAGGACCTGTACTCTGTTTGCCTCCGGCTCTGTGCCTGACTTCCTTTGTGCATTCATTCATTCAGCAGATACATCCTGACACCAGCTATATGCTAAACCGAGTCCAAGTCACGTTAGCTTAGCGAACAGAGCGGGAGTGAACGGGAGTGAACGGCGGCAGCAGGGGCGGCGTGGCTGGGGAGCGTGAGCAGTGCACGTTTGTTTCTAAAATAAGGGGGGTATCTACGCTGATGGTTTGGACACCAGATAGGGTGTGGAGGCGGGCCAGGCATCCCCAGGTGTGTGGTGTGGAGACAAAAAGCCCCCTTCACGGAAGGCAATAGCAGTGGTGTTTTCAGAGGAGACCTGGGTTTCTCTGAGAGCAGAAGGTAAAAAGAACACTCCCCGAGGAGGCTGCAGATACCAAGGAACGATGGAATGTGATGGAACCTTAGAGTAAGGAGCAAGATGAGAGAAAATTAGGTCAAGGAGGTTCAGAGAGCAAGGAGTTGAAGATGAGAAAACTATCAAGAGTATCGTGGGGAGAGTGAACAAGAATCATGAGTAAGATGTGAGGCCAGCAAGGTCGTGAGTGATATTGGCCAA